AGATTACAATAATTTTCATATTGTCACTGTATATAGCTCCGTCCATAGAAACTGCGCAGGAAAACAATAAATAAGTTAAAATTATTCAAGCATACATGTCATCAACATCCGTTCATACTTTCAAAGCTACTATGAAACTAATAATAATAATAATAATAAATATGAGAAGTCTTTGTTCTTTCTCGATTTCGCATTAGACATGTTTATGTACAATTATATCAGTCCACGAGTATACAGCGAACCCTTTTTTATGCAATTCATAGTTGGGAACATAATTCCCTGTTACGTATAATATGTACATATTAAGTTTTACATAAAACATATGAATGAAACTAATTTGTTAATGGGAGATACCCTCACAACCACGGGTACTGCAAAATATTCGAAACGGGTATCTAAACATAAGTTAATTAAACGCGATAAAATCCGTAAATAACTAGTTTCATTCAATGTGATGTGTTCGGGTAAATATAAGAAATCAATAAAACATATTATGACATTAAAGTATAATGTGCAAAGAATTGACGGTTTGGTATTACTACTATTGCTGGTTTAAGCTGTATGAAAACCGCAAATATTTACAATTAATTCCACATTAAATTTTAAAGGATAACATCTGCCTTGAATAAATACAATTAAATGCATTTTACATTGACATGGGTCTCGATTTTAATTAGGAATGTTCCCAGCAAAATACAGCATATGGATGGTTATAGTTTTAGCCCTAAATAATGTTTACCAAACTGTCCATAAGTTGGAAAAGGTCAAATTATTGATTAAACTTCCTTGACAATAGACAAATTATTATTTTTCAAATAATTATTGAACAGTTACAAGTGTTCATTATTATGGATTATTTTATGTTACAAATTGTACTGAATGGATCGATAATTATGAAAAAATCGTGAACATTTTCTACTCTTTCAAACTTCTACTTTCATTTTTATTTTCTACATGAAATCACTTTATAAAATAGATATACGGAAGGAAATTGATGTAGTAACAAAATATTTAAGTTATTTATTTTGAAGCCTTTTCATATTGTTATAGACATTGACGTAAGCCCAACCGCTAATATAGGTGCCACGCCAGTTTTATAGCAGCGACGCACGTATAATGTCGCGAACGTCGCAGTGTACTTGACGTTTGAAATATTAACAGATTTCGTTGAAATGCGCGTTACCGACAGAACTGCATCCACTTAGTACCAGATTTGCCTTTTAGAACTGACTATGGCCGGAGTGTGCCATGTAATGCACACGGCATCGTAAATGGAAAGCTTTCCGATGGAGTGTAATAAATACTTCCACAGAAAAAAAATTGCAAAAACCTGGTTCAACTGCGATTAAACATTCAGATTTATTTATGTTTATGAAACATATAAATTAATTTATTATATACCTTGTGCGTCGTGACGTTTTAATATATAATATACAGGGTTATTTTGCAATATCCGGCCAAACTAAAAGAGAAGGTTTAAAATAAGTAGGCAAATGTACCTACGTAATGTAAATGTAGTAATATAGGCAAATGGTGAAGAAAAATTAATTAAATAAAATCTGAAACATTGTCCCTTCAAAATGCGTGGTAAATATCTAACGCCTACTATTTTACTACGCACGCACACATTCGTAAGGGTCGCTGGGTCGGCAAAAACGTTGTGAATTGAATAGCACACAAGAGGAGCGCGCGTACGCGTAGTTGTTGCCATAAATCACATTTAATTTGGGATGATTTCAAATAAAAGTAGAAGCCTTATTTACTCGATTTTTCAAAAACTACAATAACGGTGTATCATTATTTATATATTTGAACTTAAGTTTAAAATTTGGCTACTCTTTGAAAAATAACCCTGTAGATATGGCCGTATGTGGATGTTTAGTCACTAAGCTTATTCTTAGTCACTAAGCTCGATATTTCTCTGCGTGTAATTATTAATCCGCAGTAGAACCATAGTAGCCGATAACGCCCAAGGGATCAGTAAGCTGAAATGGAAATGGGCCGGCCATATAGCTTGAAGAATCAACAACCAATGGGCAAGGTTTTGAAACGGCAGTGACGGGTGGTCCCCCACTAAATATAGCGACGAACTAGTAAGTAAGACATGCGGGAAGTCCATCCATATAAGATGACTCAGGACCGCGTTTTGTGGCATTCCTTGAGGGAGGCCTATATTTGACAGTGAATTTGTGAACGGTTGAAATGAATGTGTGTGCAGTTGAAAGTTTCGCAAATATTTCAGAAGGCTTGTACATTCATTAATGTAAAGTTACGAGTATTATAAATTATACATCCCTAATATTATCATTTGTGGGAACAAACTTAGTCAATGATCTCATTTTGAACAATCGTTTTGGAAGACACAATCTGCTATAAAAATGTTACACACACACATGCTCAAAACTATACCAATACTTGTTCAGATAGCTATATAGTTGAAATATTATATTTGAAAGCCACATTAAGCATAAAACGAAAAATATGCCTTTTTTATTTTAAATCATCCACTATGATCTCCAAAATTATACTATTGAAAGAGTTCATTATTTCTTCAATTTTATAATTTTTTAATAAATCATATTTCGTCCAATTTGAACATAGATGCGAGTTCTTTATTATATATTAGTAATAAGTAGCTCACACATAAGAACAATTTATCTTCTTAGCAAGCTTGGGACTAATAATAAATGCATCAATCATACAACATTTACACACACCATTTTAACAAACAGTTAAATCCCCGAATACAGTCAAATTATGATATGATCTTTATTGTCAATTCTTTTATAGTATCATTCAATTATATCATGAAAACAAAAATCTTACAAGCATGAAAGTTAAAATTAACAAATATCAAGCATCACTCTTATGCACCCCTATCATGTATGCCATGTATAAAAAATAGATATAGTTTCTGGACATAAACATATACAGTCGATAAAATAACATTTGATACAAACCAGGCGAGATAAACTATAATTATGGATCAGGTTGCCCTAAGGGTGTGCGCGCGTGCGTGTGTGCGTGTGCGCGCGTGCGTGTGTGTGCGCGTGCGTGTGTGCGCGCGCGTGTGTGTGTACAAGTGTACGCGCGTGCGTGTGTGTGCGTGTATGTGCGCGTGCGTGCGTGTATGTCTTTGTGTGCGTGTGCGAGTGCGCGCGCGTGCGTGTGTGTGTACGCGCGCGCGTGTATATGTGCGTGCGTGAAAGTGCGCGTGCGTGCATGTGTGCGTGCGCGTGCGTGTGTGCGTGCGTGTGTATGTATTATGTATATATGTATCTCTGTAGTGCCAAAGGTCATAATTTATGAGGATAAAACCAATATGAGACTTGCGAAAACAATGATGCTTGTGTACATTGATATATATTTCATTTCATTAGTCATTAATAGATCTGTGCTATCTGGTTCTGTTTTAGTAAAGCAAACCACAGTGGTGACTACCTACCAATCATTACATTTTGTATATTAACTTTAACTTGATCAACAAAACATCAAATAATTAATAGAAATGTTTGATATTGAATATTGGAATTTTCTAAGCCCTAAACTTTTACCATTAAATTTGGGTAAATAGCAAAATAAATGTGAAAACAAAGTCGAACTTATATCCATGGCATGGGGATTATAAGTGTTGTGCTTGACATGTTGGACTATAGCTGTTATAATATACATTATTCATCATTTGGTTATAGAGAATACTGTTTTGGTTTTTCCACCAAAATGTTTATTTACACATTTTTTATAAACTTGTTTACAATTATAGCCAATATACAACAGCAACTGTCTACAATAAGTAGTTACTGATTGGATAGGAGTTGTGGACTTTAATAATATAATAAATAATCAACTATGATAAAAAGAAAAGGTCATATACATTATTAATAAACAATTTAAGATCACATACTCAAAATCAACTGTATACAATCATGTCAGTGTTTCTTCATTGATATAATAATTTACAATCACTCAGTATTAAGGAATGCCCATGTTTTACCACAATTTATTAGTTTGCTTTCTTCTGTTTGCTGTTCACTACAAAAAATTTGCAATAGCTGACTTTTCAATCAAATAAGATTTAAAACTTCAAATATCGCTCAGATCTGGGTGACAATGCAATATAAGCTCACTTTCATATCTGTATCTTTGTTTGTTTGTCTATCTACTTTCCAATGAGCTGGAGACATGACATTTCAAATATAGCTGAGAACTGTAAACATGGTAAAAAAAATGGTTACCATTTTTTATAACAATTAATATTACAGTTGCATAAGAGCAAATCATGAGTAATGTTTAAAACAATGCTTAATCAGCTCTAAATATTAATTTAATTATAGTCTGTTCCCAAAGATAGTGTCAGTACACCCAGAGGCACGCTTATTTTGCTTATATTTAATTTTTATAATTTTTTATTGTTTGTTAAATGTTTTTCTATTCTAAGAATAAAATAGTATTCTATTCTATTCTTATGGCTATTGTAATAAAATACGAATATAAATAATAAAAACAAGTTTGGTAGCAAAGAACCTTTCTCTATGGCGTTTTGTTTTAAAATGCCAAATTCTAATTGTCGCGGCGGCGCCTTTGAAAAAATGCGGAACGTGCCGAGGCGGCGCAAGACAAAGGGGACTGTATCTAAGCGAACAGACTTTACATGACACATACTGAGTAAGACAAAATTATTACATGTCCATGTAAGTTTGGCTCTCTTTGGATGAAAGTTCCAGCACATTTGTCAGATGGCTTCTTAGTAAAATTTTACCTGTAATACCTGCACATTTTGAAGAAGCAAATTCGTCTTATGATTTTAACACAATGTATTAAGAGTGAGGTTAACAACAAACAATTAAGTCTTAGTTTGTGTTAATTTAGTCTTAGTTTGTGGCGTCACAGGCACTACACACTAACTTCACGGGTACACTTAATAATCCATTTTGAGTGCTTATTTATTATTTTTCACTATCACTAGGCACGTCTTCTGTCCCAGGACTGTTCTGCAGTCACTATGTGGTGTTAGTGACGTTTGAAGGTGGGGGGAATACGGGGGGAGGCCCACTCGTCCACTGGATTAGCGCGTGTTGGGGCAGTTGGGTCGCCTGGAAATGATCCTTTAGGAGAGCTTGTGAAAAGTTGCAGTGCATTTGGTAAGCTTCATTTTCGCGCTCAGTGTCGCCAGCCAGCCGATATAAATCTATAACAAATACATATTATTAAAAATTAGCATTTTGCAAAATTACACTGTACTTTTCAATTAAGTTGTACTCACAAATGTTATGCTCTAATCCGAACTTTTACATTGCAAAGAAATGTCCCCAATCAGTTACTCATCTTAATATAAAGTAGCAAGTAAAACTTCAGATATCAAAAACAAAACATTACCAAAGAAATTTTATGGAAATACCAAGATATGATTTCATAGTTTTTTTTTAGTCAAATAAAAATTATTTTAATATTCTTGAAGAATAAAATCTAATTTAACTTAATATAAAGAAGCCAATTCGCACAACAGGATGTAGTCATTTATTAATGAAGGTGTCTACTAGCCAGATTTAACTTATAAGGAGCTCTTTCTTTTTTACAGAACTTTTTTCTTATTTTCATTCATGCTTGAATTTGAACTTCTGTATTAAGTGATTGCTATTGGTCAATAAACAGCCTAAAATGAAGTAAAAGAACTGGAAATACCCACCTTTCAATATCGCGGAGGCCCACAATTGGACATGAACATCTGGTATTTTGCTGGCGAGTTGCATCGCTGGTGTCACCATGTTCATACTTTCCCGAGAATTGTTAATTGATAAAAATATATGACCGAGCAACACCAGTGAACAGGAAGTCAGTCTGTTGAGATCTTCCGCATTGGCCATCTTCAGGGTTTCCCGAAGGTATCGTCTGATGAAAATCCAAATAACTTATTTATTTTAATAACTATAGATAAATTTTTATGCATAAAATTATAATATAGGTATATTATAGTAGGATTAATATATCAGCCGTTTAAGATTCTGGACAACATAGCCAAAAAGTCTATTGTAACTCTCAAACTTTTAGACCATGCAAACTTTTGTAATATTTTGAATTAAAACCCCAAATTAATAAAAAATAACATTAATTATACAAATGGATGGCTGAACGCATTACCCCGCCCTTTACTAAATCCAGCACCTATCAAAATAAATCTCATAAGAAAAAGTTGTATCAAGTTACAAAGTCGCTCAAAGCTCCTCTATATAAAAGCCGTTATATAGCAAAATTCTTTTACTGAATATGGCCGTAAAGGAAATTAAAAATCTCAAAAATATACAGAATGTTTGGAAAATGGGAAAATGATTCAATGTATAATCCCCTTCAGACTTTGCTGAAGGGGATTATACATTGAATCATTTAGAACATACTCAAAAGAAAGGGCAATAACTAAGCATGTTTTTAAAAACGTTTGAACAACAAAGGCTGTTTTATTTATTTTTTTATGATGGCATAAAAACAACACTTCCTTAATTTATTTTTTGTTTCTTAAACTTAAATATTCGTAGTTTGTTTTTCTGATGATGAAGATGCTTAGTAATTATTTTGTTTGAGTAATCACATATTACATAAAAAATAATAACACAACAACTTTTACTGGACATTATTATTAATGAATTTAAAAAAATGGGTTTTATTGTTAAAAACCTTAGAAATTCAATTTAAAAAAGGAGCAGACTTCGTCTAAGACAAATTTTTAATTAGCTTAATATGTTCTAAATGGTTTAAGGTATCATACTCTTCAAGATTTGCATCCATCTTCCAAACAGTCTGTATAATAACCATATTGCTTACTTGGCTTCATTATACCGCGCCTGGAAAAATGCCTGTAGTCCCAGTACGTAATACGACGCCGCTCGTAATCCATGCGCGTATGCAGGTAGTGCTTCTGGTCTCACCTAATTCGAACAAAATAAATTAATGAATGTAAGATCAAAAGTACATTTAGAGTACTTGTGTTAAAGAGTGTAAACAATAAAGTGTAAATAAATAAATTGAAGATGGGTAAAATTAATGTTACCCTTAACTCATGCACATATGCATAGATATATTGATGTAAAAGAAACAAGAGATCGTGCCACATGAAAATTCGTAGTCTCTGCCTATCCCTATGGGCGACGGGCATGAGAGTTTATGCATGTACGAGGGTGGATTGAAAAGTACTCGGCCTAACCAACTGACGTGTGAACACGGGCGTTATCTTGATGAAACAGGACTTTTCTTCTGAGCATTCCTCGACGTTTTTCTTTTATTTCCTCTCGTAAACGACGTAGTAAGGTGCAGTAGTAATCAGAGTTTATATTCTGACCCCTTTCAAGATAATCAATCATAATCACACCTTTCGAGTCCCAGAATACTGAAGCCATCACCTTATTTGCCGACAAAATCGACTTAGACTTTTTAGGGGGTGGTGAACCAGGTCTTCTTCACTGTTTTGATTGTTGTTTTGTTTCCGGTGTACAGTAATGAACCCATGTTTCGTCCATAGTAACAAAACGATTCAAAAAATCATCTGCATCGGCTTCAAATAACTCCAAACAGTCGCGTGAAATAGTCAATCGCGTCCTTTTTTGTTCAACTGAAAGCAGTCGCGGGACCCACCTCGCAGACACCTTGTGGAAACCCAACTCGTTGACAATGATGTTTTGAGTTCGTTCATAAGAGATGCCTATAATCTCGGCTATCTCCCTAATTTTTAATCTGCGGTCTCCCATTATTAAATCAAGTACTTTTTTAATATTTTCGTCAGTAGTTGACGTCGAAGTCCTTCCAGAGCGGGGTTCATCTTTCACACTCTCTCTACCACGCTTAAATTCTGCTATCCATTTTTTGACGGATGAATATGACAGAGCACAATCGCCTAATGTACTGACCATGTCATCATGGATGGCTTTTGATGATAGCCCCTTCTTATGGAGGTACTTAATGACAGCACGCTGCTCGATTTGCTCTATTCGCGGAAATTATGTCCGATTACTTTGTTAATAAATTTATAAAATCACAACTAATTATCGCACACGTTTCGAACTTCACACAATGAACTAGTCTGAACTGAACTAAATAATGTGGGTAGATTTGATTTTTAGAATTGAATGGATCTGTGTTAGGCCGAGTACTTTTCAATCCACCCTCGTATGTTATTTTAATTATATTACTTATAGTATAAGTAACGAAATTTAATCATTAATACCTGTTCCATAAGTTGTGCTAAGTCATTATCTCTCCGACCTCGTAGATACACAATCGCTAGATTGAGTTTTGCAAACATCCATAAATCTCTCTCTTGTGACATCTGTAACATTATTATTGCATTCATTACAAACCAGAAATACAAGATTCATTACGCAGGCTAAAATACATATGATACACAGAGGCATAGGAATCATCACGACACAAGCAGGACTTTGGTTTAACCCACACAACGGGCAGTCGTCCTGGCGCGTTCGTGGAACATTATAGGATATCCAACATAATGCTTCCTTGAAGTTGAAGCCCTTGAAGCATGAGATATATTCTCAAAAAAAAAATAAAGATTCAATTTAAATTCCAGCAAGTTTCAACAACAGAGTAGTTGGCACTCACTTTCAATGGAAATACTTTTAGTAGCTGTATAAAAAGACCTAACTTTTTTTTAATAAAAAAAACTTACTTAAGTCTGTAATTATATAGGACGATCAATAATTAACATAGTTTCTTGAATAGATAGATCAAATGAACGTCTTATCTGTATATTTAAAACATATAATTTAGCTTAAAATCGAAAGGAAAATCAATCAAAGTAAAAAATCTAAATCTTATGTATATTAATTTATTTCTGACAGTATTAGCTACGCACATATATGACATCCTCCAAATACGATCATTTGATGGATGATATTTTTTAATAAAGGCAAATTAAACTATTGCGCTAATTTCGAAATATTATACTATACGCGATTTTCAGGCTAGGTAAAACCTAATCTATATGCATATTAAATATTTATTAAAACTTACTTCAATAGCAGTGAGGAACTGCGATTCAGCGGCCTCCATACAGTTCATGGACATTGCGTAGAGGCCTAGCAGACAGTGCAGTTGAGGAGTATGAGCCGCTGCACTGCTCGCTACAACACAAATGTTACATATTACATGCTACTTAGTAAAAAAAATGGTAGTATTCATTGTTTGACTGTGCTTTTGTGTTGTGATTTATATATGTAAAAATCTGGCGCAGTCTATAAAGACAACCAGAAGTGGTTAAAGGGAATATTAGTAATGTTTAATAGCATTACTAGTATTTTTTAAAAAAAAAAACAAAAAAAAACAAAAAAAGAAAACCTTTATTTCGGAATGCTCCCTATAGATTCGCGCATATTGAGAAGCAAAATAATTTAGTAATTTTTTTCATTGATAATGAAGTTAATCACTACAATTGAGTTAAATATGGCGGTGTAGCGCGCAAGACATGTTATTTGGCGTGTGTTCGTGTATGCCCTCGCGGTTAGGGTTACCAGATAACAGGAATTTTCCTGATATGTTCGGAATTTTAGCTGTCTGTCAGGGAAAAAGGGAAAATTGGAAATTGTCAGGAATTTTAAGAAAAGAGAAAAATATAAGAAATTATATTATAATTAAAATAAATTATGAACAACTAATAATCAAAGAACGAAATCTAATAATTATCACGCAATTAATTGATGAATTATCCATCTGATCCTCGTGCTTTTTACTGCGGGATATAGCTTTCAGTAGGTGCTAATCTTCCATAACAATTTTATGAAACTATTCACATGATGTGTTCTTCACATTGCACTGTGTCAACAGTAGAGCCCTAAGAGAAGCTATGGACTATTTCTTTTCTTCTTTTAATATTCCTATAATATCCATGACTGAGTTATTTTCCCGTTCTATTTTTGCGATTTGTGACTGGAAGACCGACATAAGAGACTGCTCAAAAAATAAATAACTTTCTGCGACTACATTTTCGAAAAAAGCTTTAAGTGTTGTCGGCCCTTGCGGAATTGTCGAAAAGTATTATTTTAGAGACAGATACATTTTCATATTTCTTTCTATAGCTGGAAAAAGGCTCAGCTAGTTTTACTGTAATAAAGCAACTTTTGGTTGTTGATATCAATGTATTCATAAATTGATTTTAAGCTTTCAGTTGCGCACGGTATATACCGAAAAGAAATTAAAAAGCTTCATCACCAGCGATTCGATATCTATTTGTAGTACATCAGTACCCTGTTGGATGCAATTATGCAAAATATGTGCGAGGCAACCGATTCCAACAATCTCCTTATTTAGTTTACGCACCGTTTACAATGGCTTCTGTTTTAGCCCTTTGGCACGTAACGTTTGCCAATATCCTTGGCAGTATTGGAATAAGCAAAGATTACCTTCATCAAACGCACAGTGCAGTTCATGGAGTTATAAGACTGGTGGTCATTAACAGTGTGAAACCCAAATGTAGCACAGCAGATTGCTTTATTTTACTTTGAGACGTTGATGACTGGAAAAGTATATCTATTTTGCGGTTTTTATTCACAACCAACAGTTGCTTTTGGTGTTTTTTGCTTTTAATGTGTGTGTTGACATCAAACGCACCTTTGTACTTTATGGAAATTTAACAATCACACACTGTACAGAAAATTTGAGACGCTTCTGGTCCCTGTCTCATTAAAGGATATCTTTCACGTAAAATATCTGTAAATGCACATTGACGTTTACTACTCGAAGCCATTTTGGTTTATTACAATCGTCTTTTCGTTATAAAATAAATGCTTGCCACACAAATACGCACACACAACACGAGTAAGCATAGCATCGTCCGCAAGCATACTAAGTACTGATTAACGCACCGCCGCTCGACTCGCTCGCTCTCGCTAGGAGGAGTACCTATTCTGTGCTCTCGCTCGACCCCGGTGTGAGGGAGGTGGCGGCATCGTTTATCATCGCGCCAATAGGTTGCCGCGCCTCGCGTCCCCGCCACACTGCATCTCACACTTTTAATTAGGCTCACCCGCGAGTTTTTGAAAAAATATACTTTTTGCCGAAATTTCAGGAAATTTATTGCTAAGACAACTTGAGAAAACTTATTTTTGGATCTGGTAACCCTACTCGCAGTCACGTGGCCGATCGCGAACACGCTGTAACATGTTTGAACATATTGTTATGCTGGGGCCACAGTAACGGGAAACGTCAATGCCCATAACGCAACAATTATTGCTTTAAATTTAACGTGATAAAGCGAGTGGCTACTCTTGAACGGTCAACATCATTCCAATTTCAATGCCATTGAACGGCGTTAAAGTTGGCGTTAATGTACCTTGAATTTCAACAAGATGGACGTTGACGCTGCTCCTCTATATTTGATGGTCAGAGCCCATGACTTATGTTTTCGGAAAGCTGTCCCTTACATCCTGTATATATATATTTAAATAAATTGGAGGGACACACACACAGACAAACAGACAAATAGATGGACAGATAGCAGACTGATAGAAATAATAAAACAGTATAAGGACCCACTTGCTAGAGTCTAGTCAGGCCTCTGTCACTCTTGCTACCTGCGTGAAATGCGCCTCGCGATTGTGGAATTTACACATGTCAGCTTTTCCAACATTTGGGGAATTCCCAAAATTGCGGGGAATTTAAAGTTGGTTGGGGATTTTATGGGGATTGGTATTATACGGGGAAAATACGGGAATTTTGAAAATCGATAGCCAGGGCCAAATCAGAACCTTTTTTTCAAGAAATCTAAATAATCATCTTAACATTTTGTTAATTATGAATATCGTATGACCCTTTTTCTAATTATCTTCACTGCACATTTTATTTTCGGATTTAAAACAGCAACTTTTGTGTATCATTTAATGCTTTACATTTCTTTATTTGTTAATTTTAAAGAAAAAAAATGTTAATTAAAAAGTAAATCTTATAAAATTAGTTAAAACTTCGTTCATTTCTTAAAATAAAATTGAGGGGAATTTGTGGGGAATCTGTTGAAGTTTTGTCCTTAAATTGGGGAATTTGACATGAATTTTCGGTGAATTTAACAAATAGGCGTTGGCAACGCTGCCATGTTGGACCGAAATTTAGTTTGCCGGCGACATAAGAATTAGAGGCGGCGATCACTATAAAACTTGCAAGTAATTTTTAATAATTTTGACGTACCTATACGGAAAGTCAATTAAAATAAAGTAAAAGTATTATTTTTTACATTAATTCTGATAGATTAATTAACTGTCGATCATGATTGCAATTGATTTTAACGATTAAATTATTCAGTACCACTTCATTTCTATTTTCTTATACAAAATCAAAGATAACGATGAAATAGTGTTTAGAATTGTGTGAGTATTAAGTACCCAATTTCGTTTATTAATTTCAATATAATTTTTGTAGTAAAGAACTGCTTGTTGCGTCAGGGTACAATTGATTGTGTAATTGTATTAAAAATGACAACCATAACTTCTAAATTCCATATGAAGATTAGTCGTATGGACAACTAAACATATAAATACAATAAACTTTAGCAATGTCGTAAGGGTTTTACGGTCTGTAGAAGTGTTCAGTGCTTCAAGGACAAATGCCTCGTGTGCATTTGTTTTGGCGGGATTAATTATTAATTTTAGTTTTTGAGACAGTTCCGTGTTGACTATCATGTGCGCGTGAGCGACAGTTCAATCGTTTTGTTTATTACACACACACACACACATACACACACACACACACACACACACACACACACACACACACACACACACACACACACACACACACACACACACACACACGTTTTGTTTGCGCGTCAGCGCCGCGTGCTCCACCTTGCTGTTGTTGTTGTTGTTGATACGTACCGGTGGGTGCGACGGTGAGCAGGTGCGCGGCTCGTGCGATCTCGTGCAGCGCGTGCGCCTTGCCGCCCGCCACCAGCCGGCACAGCGCCGCGTGCTCCACCTTGCTGTTGTTGTTGTTGTTGATACGTACCGGTGGGTGCGACGGTGAGCAGGTGCGCGGCTCGTGCGATCTCGTGCAGCGCGTGCGCCTTGCCGCCCGCCACCAGCCGGCACAGCGCCGCGTGCTCCACCTTGCTGTTGTTGTTGTTGTTGATACGTACCGGTGGGTGCGACGGTGAGCAGGTGCGCGGCTCGTGCGATCTCGTGCAGCGCGTGCGCCTTGCCGCCCGCCACCAGCCGGCACAGCGCCGCGTGCTCCACCAGCGCCATGCGCAGCCGCCACGCCAGCACCGCGCCGCTCCTCGCTCCGCCCTTGTTGCTGCTCTCTTCACACCCACTCGCTGTCACAACGATACAATCAATAGAATACAATTATTTCTACCAAATATACATTACAATGCCCCGTGTAGTAGCGGGTAAGAATACTCACTACTCCTTATCTTCCCGTGGGTGTCGTAAGAGGCGACAGAGGGAAGCTGAGGCAGAGGATGGGCAGCAGCATCTTTCTGATAACAGCAAAAACCAATAAAAACTGCGGTTGCCAACCCGCTCGCCAATCGTGGCAACTATGGCAATATAACCCCATGAAAGTAACGAAGAGACGGCCCCAAGTCCCCGGCGGCCCCGCTATTCCTGGCTCCGGTGGCGACCACGGTAACGGCGGGGCAGGGGGTGCTAAGAATCTCCGATGGAGGTTCGGTTGCCACCTACGACGACTCGACCTCGCAACTTATAACGCATGCACCCTGTGGACTGAGGAGAAGATCCTGGAGCTGGAAGAAGAGACCGACAAGTTGCGCTGGAATATCATAGGATTATCCGAGGTCCGAAGAGAGGGGGAGGACACGGTAATCCTCGAATCCAGCAACTTGTTCCATCACCGGGAGGGCGACCATCTGTCCCAAGGAGGTGTCGGATTTATCGTCCACAAGTCTCTCGTTAACAACGTTGTAAAGATTGGGAGTGTGTCGACGAGGGTTGCGTACCTTATACTCAGAATCACCAAACAGTATTCGCAGAAGGTCACACAGGTTTACGCACCAACTTCAGCACACCCAGTTTTTTTTTTTTATAGGATCGGGTGACAAACGAGCACACAGTCCACCTGATGGTAAGTGGTTACTGTGACCCATAGACATCTACATCTATCCTCAATAAAGACTCAAGATGCAAATGCTTTGTCAGTTGTCACCCGTGAGGACTAAGATGGAATGCCTCTTTGCCAGTAAAAAGGGTCTCCGGTTCTCTACACTCACCATACGAAACACAGCAGCGTTAAGCTGCTATTTTACGCTGGTTTTCTGTGAGAGCGTGGTCCTTCCCCGGTCGAGCCGACCCATTCGTGCTACAACCATAATATAGCTGTAGCATGGCTCTACCACGTAAAGTACACCCAGATGAGGAGGGTTTTTTTTATAGGATCGGGTGGCAAACAAGCACACAGTCCACCATACGGTAAGTGGTTGCTGTGGCCCATAGACATCTACATTTATCCTCGTTTGCGAATCAAAATGCAGATGCGTTGTCACCCGTGAGGACTAAGATGGAATGCCGTTTCCAGTAAAAAGGGTCTCCGGTTCTCTACACTCACCGCACGAAACACAGCAGTGTTAAGTTGCTATGTTACACTGGTATTCTGTGAGAGCGTGTTCCTTCCCCGGTCCAGCCGACCCATTCGTGCTACAACTACACTACTAATATAGCTGAAGCATGGCTCTACCGCGTATATACCAGAATAGAATTGAATTGGTGAAGACAAAGATAGATATAGTTATAGTCATATTATATATAGTCTGTTGCCAGAGGCTTACCATCGGATTATGAAGGATAGAGGTAAGGAGAACTATTTAATATTAGGGACAAGATAAAAAAGTGTCCAGCTGTAAGTTGTAAATAACAATTCAAAAACTTTCCAGTGGCGCTAGCGTAGATACAGAGTATGGTATGAATGTAGCAGTTGTAGATGGATTGAAGTGTGCAGAGTTACGAGAACGACATTGAAAGTTTTTAGCACTGGCCACTTGGAAACGATATAATAAAAAATTGTTAAAATTTTGAAAATGGAACTCTTTGCCAATATTATTGGTTATGTATTTTATTAATTTGTCATTTCTTTACGATTTGGCGGCAAATTGAAAATTGTCTGTGTCACTTCAGCATGATTTTAACGCGAGAAAATTTTCGTACAATTATTTTTTATGGCTTTCGATCATTTAAGTCAATAAGAAAGTTATGATAGACTTCGATTGGCCTTTCACGATGCAGCCCCATCTCGTGTCACTGTTTACAACTGCTTTAGTGACTTTAAACGTGGTCTCACTAATCTCTCTGATGATCTGCGTGAGGGACGGCCTTCTACGGCGACGACTGAACATAACATCAATGTTGTGCGGCGTATGATAGAGACTGACAAAAGAGTGACTTATCAGCAGATTCGGATAAGCTTAGGCATCGGTATGAGTGAAGTGCACAAATTCACCCATAAACATTTAGCGGTCAGGAAGCTTTGTGCCCGGTGGTTACCTCATAATTTGACAGAGGTCCAAAAACTCCACCGTGTTCATTGGTGTCGTGAAATTGTTCAAAGATTTAAAGGTGATAACTCAAATGCCGTGTTCTACATACTTACGGGTGGCGAAAGCTGGATTTATTGTTATGATCCTGAAATTAAGAGACGTCCGCTGTCTGTGTGTTTCCTTCCGAGGAGTTGCCAACTAAAGTGAAGAGAGGTCGAACCGTGGGGAAAAAGATGGTAGCCTCGTTCTTCGGAAGGACAGGTCGTTACGCAACAATTTTTTTAAAGGATTGAAAAACAGCTACTGCAGAGTGGTACACTAACAATTGTTTGCCATTTGTCTTGAAAAAAGTAACGGCCTCGCAGTAGGATCCTCCTTCACCACGACAACGCCACGTCGCACACCGCCAAGCAAACAATCGACTACTTAGCGACGTGGAATTGCTGGGTCACCCGCCCTTTTATGGACGCCGAGGAAGCAGTGGCTGTGTTTCAAAATGCTGTCGAAGAGACCCCTAAGGACGAGTGGGCAAAGTGCTTTTCTCAGTGGTTCCATCGGATGCAGCGATGTATTGATGTAAATTGTTGACACTATATTGAAAAGATATAATAAAACTAATAACTTGCTAGTGTGTTCAGTTTTTGATTTTCTAAGAACTTTCAGTGTCACCCTCGTAAAAAAATTTATATTTTTAATAACAAGAGTAGTGAGTTACAGTATACAAAACTTCAACTATTCATGTAGTCCAAAAATAATTTATTAAATAAAACATTAAATGACTTGGGTGTTGTTTTTAAAATTGGACAATTTTGCTGCTATTGTAGCGCCACCCTAATTTAACGCATTTCGACGAACACTTTTTCATACACGGAATAGAATAGAATCATTTTATTCAATATAGATTACAGTACATAATACTTATTGAAAGTCATTTTTTACTGTTACCACTGGTTCGCAAAAAAAAACCTCTGTCTTGGGAAGAACTAGCATGAAACCCAGCGGGACTTTTTTTTAAAAAAGCACAAATTACAATATAAAAATTTTATACAATTGTTATGAAAACAATTAGAATCAGCATGGTGCAATCACCTCATTCCAAGGGGTTATTATCAGTCCTGTACTCTTTAGTAGTATAATAACCCTTACTAGACAATTTTTACTTAATAAATAATTTAAACCTTTTGATAAAAAATGTCTGCTTGTTTTCTGGGACGTATACATTGCCCCATGAAGGAATTACTGACTCTTCGGAGTCAAGTAATATAACTATTTTTGTTTTTGTGTACATATATTAAATTCTCGTAAATATATTGAGAGGCCATAATTAATATATTTATTTCTATAAACTTTATCTAAGGGATTCCTTCGGACCTAGGTTATAAATTTCTCTTATGGCTCTCTTTTGCAAATCTTTTTTTTTTTTTGCAACAGAGAGCCATAAGTTCCAATATCAGTCGTATTACCCCATAGCAAGGTTCCATATGACATTATGCAATGGAAATAACTAAATAAACTAATCTAGCTGTTTCAACACATGTAAGGCATCTAATCTTTTTTACAGCATATGCTGCAGAACTAAGTTTGCAGCTAGTTTAGATATATGAGGGTCTTCTTGAAGCTTCGCGTCAACTGTAATACCGAGAAAAACAGTGGATTCAACAAGGCCCAGCTCCTCCCTATTTAAAAGCACCCTGGTATTCACCTTTTTAACATAAAGTGTAGTGAATTTAATATATTTCGTTTTATTACCGTTCAAAAGCAAATTATTGATTTTAAACCAGTGTACTACTTTTGATATAGCATTATTCACTTCGTCATATTTTAATAATTGCCTTTTTAGTCGGAAAATAAACGAAGTATCATCAGCAAATAATACTATACCATGGCTATTCCCTACCAAGTAGGGTAAGTCATTAATATAAACTAAGAACAGAAAGGGACCGAGAACTGAGCCCTGAGGAACACCCATAGATACTACCGATCTGGAAGAACTGCAATCATTAATAACAACTGTTTGCGTTCTGTTATTTAAATATGACATAATAAGTTTAAGCGCCACGTTTTTTACACCATAATGATGTAGCTTCCTGATTAGTCTCATGGCGAACACAGTCGAAAGCCTTGGAAAGATCACAAAATATACACAAAGCATCTTTTGAAATTTTCATTTTTTTTTGTAGGAGAGTGGGCAAACGAGCATACGGCTGACCTGATGGTAGTGATTACCGCCGCCCATGAACAACTGCAACACCACGGGAATTGCAGATGCGTTGCCGGCCTTTTAAAAAGGAGTACGCTCTTTTCTTGAAGGTCCCCAAGTCGTATCGGTCAGGAAAAATGTCTGGTGGTAGTCGATTCCACAAGGAAGTTGTGCGAGGAAGAAAACTTATTTTAAATCGCACAGTAGTGGACCGCCAGTCATCCGGTGCGATGGTGCAATTGTGCGGGTGGAATTAGTCCGAATAATTCCTCAGAGCACTCCCCGTGGTAAATGCGATAAACGCAAAGAGATGCAACATCTCTTCGCAGTGCCAGTGATTCAAGCGATCGGAAAGAATTCGGTCGCCGACGATTCGAGCAGCTCTACGCTGGATGCGATCAAATGGAAGGAGCTGGCACTGGGGAGCCCCAGCCCGGAGATGGGAACAGTATTCCATGTGCGGCCGAACCTGCCGGCATGAAATACTATCCTGCTCTGCTGAGCACGCCAAGCTTTTTATAGGCCAATTTGGCCTTCTCTTCCAAGTGACCACGATACTGCACGTCACTCGATATGTCGACACAGAGGACTCCGATGCTGGTTAAGGCAACAAGGGGAGTGCCTTGAAACTGAGGAGATACGACAAAGGGGTTCTTTTTAGCGGTAAACGCGCAAACTTGTGTCTTCTGGGGATTGAACTGGACAAGATTTAGTCGCCCCCAGTCCGAGACTTTATTCAACAAAGTCTCGACTTCAGACACAAGTTTGTACCCGGTACTCGGCGAAGTTTTCCTGAGAAATATTGACACGGCCGGTGTATAAAGCATCACCAGTGCTGTTATCTGCATTGCAAGGAATGTTACCGGTTTGCGACATGTCATTGATACGCAGAAGAAACAGCGTCGGCGATAGCACGCAGCCTTGTGGAACACCAGCGTTAATGGACTTGTAATCGGAGCATGCACCGTCTACTACGACCTTGATGCTCCGATCTGCAAGAAAACTGGTGATCCAATTGCACAATTTCTCGGGAAGCCCATAGGAAGGAAGCTTCGAAAGAAGCCCTTTGTGCCAAACCCGATCGAGCCTTCGCTATGTCCAAAGTAGCGGCCAACGTCCCCCGTCCCCCCCTGGACACTACTGCCTCCGGCCATTTATGAGTTAGGTAACCCAGAAGATCACCGCCGAGCGACCGCCACGAAAACCGTACTGACGGTCCTAATCAGCTGGTGATTCTTAAGGTACCGCATGAGCTGGCTGTTAATAATGGACTCCATTATTTTAGAGAACAAGGAGGTGATGGCGATAAGCTTATAGTTGGACGTATCAGAGCGGTTACCTTTTTTAGGGATTGGGTGCACAAAAGCAGTCTTCCATGATTTTATGATGATTTTACATGATTCTACGCCTAGGGAAGAAAAGACGCGTTAAAACCGGTGCCAACTCTGGAGCACAAGTCTTCAGCACAATAGAAGAGACGCCATCCAGCCCACTCAACTTGTTGACGTCCTGGGGGAGGGGTGCTCTGAGCACCGAGCGTTGGGCAAACAGCACATTCTGAATGGAGCACTCACACCGCGGGATGGTCGGCGGTGTGTTCCCCCGTCATCAAGAGTCGAGTTGGACGTAAAGAGAGAGCCCAGCAGATCGGCTTTGCCTTTTGCGGCATTGGCCAGTGAGTCGTCCTCCCTGTGCAGAGATGGGAGATGGCTGACAGAAGTTCCCTTGGACAGCCTTGCCCCACGCACAGAAAATATGTTTGATTAGCTCAACACCGGCACCAGTTGTTGAGCGACCCCTTGTAAATCCAAACTGATTGTTATTAAGTAATTTATTTAAAATGAATTACTTCATAACAATCAATATATAACTAGTCTTCCTTACCTCTTCCCTCCATACATCGGATGGAATGTGTGCATAATATATAAAAATATAATAAAATAAATATAAAAAATTTTGACAATCCGAAGGCAATCACATATATACATAATTAATAATTAAGTGAATTGAATAAATACTTCTACAATGAAAAAAAGAATTTAACCTACAATGGTCAAAATGAGTGAAAAGTAGGGATTATGGAAATTGGTAAGCAATTTTGATTTCTAGTTTAGTTCTTTAATGTATTTTGTCTTATTAATCGAGGTGACTCACACGTAAGCTTGTCGATTTGCGCTAATGCCTTATCCGTGTACTTGTGCGCCTTGTCCATATAGCCGGCCTGTGCCGAGTGCATGACGGTAACGAGGTACACCAGCACGTAGAGCTGCTGTCGCGACAACCACACGAACGACTCGCCCGCCGCACTGCCGCATACCGCTGCACATACCAATACCTTGTTTATTTATATATTTAAATAACAATTACGTATACATTGTTACAATTATAGTTTACATACGTAAATTAATTATTTTATATATAACTCAAGGTGAATAATGACACTAGAAAAATATCGAAAGTATTTATACATAATAAAGAAATTTAAACAATATTAAATAACTAATTAATAATCTTAATTTATTAAATTTGCTTTGTTTGAGTAGTTATTTTTGAAGTCTCCTAGGGGAGTCGGAATTGATGTAGAAAGCAAAGGAAAGTTATTTGACCAATTTACACATCTTAGAGATCGGGCCAAAAAATGTTCTGCGAAGAGGTGGTCAAGTCGAGTTACCATGCTACATGAGGATCTTTGAGGGAGAGAAATTTTATTTTATTAAACAATTGAGGACAGTTGATTTTGTGATTTAGTAATTTACCTAAAAAGAACAAGGTGTTTATCTGTAAGTGTGTATTAATTATAGCAAGGTAAGTATCTCACATGTTACAGTATCACATTAATATATTAATCTCAGTTACCATCGTCATCAGGCCAGGTTGGAGCCATGATGGTTTGTATGCTCTGCTGTAGCTGCTTCAAGCATGGTTTCACACTCTTTACCTGGCCGGCCATCAAATAGTGACAAACCTACAATATAACGAAATTCCATATATCAAACACAAAGAAAATGTAAAATTTAAAAGAATTACAAGAAAATTTACTGCTTAAGTGGATATCTGGGCGGCGTTCAGTGCATTAAAAATAATATTTTTAAAACTAGAAACTTTTAAAATTACTAAAACTGCAAACTTATCCCCCCCCCCCCCCCCCACCCTATTTTAAATATCCATCAAATTTAAGAAACTAATAAAATGACTACATACAGAAATACACAACCTTCATATATTATTCTTGAAAAAAAAAAAACAATAACCAATTCAGTTTTGGAAAAGGAAAGAGAAGTATACATTACAACAGCAATAGAATGTTGAAAGCCCAGATGTCCTCTTAAGGTTACTATTAAAATAAATTATCAGCTATCAAGAATTTTTGAAAAGTGAACACAAGATAGTAAGCACCTGTAAAACTAGGAAAAAAACTTTGAGGTACTCTTTTTGATGTGGACTGCCCGACCATGACTCCACAAGATGGCCCGCTTGATTTAGCAATGGTAACACTTCTTGGATCTTCTTGTCTATTAACAACAACTGAAATAAAATAGTGATTTAATTTATTCACTTCATGTTTTTTCTTTTACAATGTAACAATTTTCTTAAATAATCTATGAATGTAAACCAATAATTTATTGGATTAAAATTGTTTGCAGATAACAATTATTTCTAGTTTTATATCAGGTTCATTGAATTTTGGCCAGTACTATTCGAAATATGAACATTGCTAGCTACTGGAAACAGGCTAAACAACAGTCAGCCTCATTTTTTTTTTTACCACATGCTACTTCCATGTTCCTTACATCTTTGGACATAAAATACTACAATTAGATATAAATAATAATAGAATTGGTCAAATTGCTTTTTACAAAAAGCAAGTTTAAGTTGGGACTCACCATTACTCTACTCAGTAAAAATAGAACTCTTGTGTATGCAGCATTTGAGATCTGTGCGTAATCCACTCCAACACCCAAAAGGCTACTAGCCACTTCATATTCACGCTCTGTTGCATGAATTTGCTGTAAAATAAAATATTATTAAATAATAACTCAAAATCAAATGATTATTTTATATTACACCATCAAATCTTGATTGATCTTGGGGAATGCCTGTGCCCCACATGTGTGATAACGTAACTATTTGACGTGTGAGAGAACTAAAAAAGTTTAGCTATTATCTTCTGTAGTCCCCACAACAGTATATAGATTATTTTATATAAATTTGTAAACGATGTGAGTAAATTTATGGCTAAGGTACGGAATACGCAATTATAAATGAAAAATATGAATAGTGTGTAGGTGTTTTTTTTTTTTATAGGAGAGGGGGCAAACGAGCATGCGGCTCACCTGATGGTAAGTGACTACCGCCGCCCATGAACAACTGCAACACCAGGGGAATCGCAGATGCGTTGCCGGCCTTTTAAAAAGGAGTACGCTCTTTTCTTGAAGGTCCCTAAGTCGTATCGGTCCGGAAAAATCGCTGATGGTAATCGATTCCACAAGGAGGTCGTGCGAGGAAGAAAACATCTTCTAAATCGCACAGTGGTGGACCGCCAATCATCCAGATGGTGTGGATGGTATCGGGAGTTCTGCCGCGATGTGCGTTCGTGAAAATTGGCGGCTGGGATTAATCCGAACAATTCCTCAGAGCACTCTCCATGGTAGATACGAAAGAAAATGCAAAGGGATGCAACATCTCTTCGCAGTGCCAATGAATCGAGCCGATCGGAAAGGGCTCGGTCGTCGACAATTCGAGCCGCTCTGCGTTGGATGCGGTCAAGTGGAAGGAGCTGGCACTGGGGAGCCCCTGCCCAGAGATGGGAACAGTATTCCATGTGAGGCCGAACTTGCGCCTTGTAAAGTAGCAGGCGGTGTGCCGGCATGAAATACTGTCCCGCTCTGCTGAGCACGCCAAGCTTTTTAGAGGCCAATTTGGCCTTCCCTTCCAAGTGACCACGAAACTGCACGTCACTCGATATGTTGACTCCGAGGATACCGATACTGGCTGAGGCAAGAAGGGGAGTGCCTTGAAACTGAGGAGATACGACAAAGGGGTTCTTTTTAGCGGTAAACGCGCAAACTTGTGTCTTCTGAGGATTAAATTGGACTAGATTTAGTCGCCCCCAATCCGAGACTTTGTTCAGCAAAGACTCGACTTCAGACACAAGTTTGTTCCGGTACTCAGCGACGTTTTCCCGAGAAATATTGGCACGGCCGGTGTATAGAGCATCACCAGTGCTGTCATCCGCATAGCAATGAATGTTACCAGTTAGCAACATATCATTGATATGCAGAAGAAACAGCGTTGGTGATAGCACACAGCCTTGTGGAACACCAGCGTTAATAGGCTTGTAGTCAGAGCATGCACCGTCTACAACGACCTTGATGCTCCGATCTACAAGGAAGCTGGTGATCCAATTGCACAATTTCTCGGGAAGCCCATAGGAAGGGAGCTTCGAAAGAAGCGCTTTGTGCCAAACCCGATCGAAGGCCTTCGCAATGTCCAGACTAACGGCCAACGCCTCCCCCTTGGACTCTACTGCCTCCGCCCATCTATGGGTCAGGTAGACCAGAAGATCACCAGCTGATCGACCCCGACGAAAACCGTATTGGCGGTCACTAATCAGCTGGTGATCCTCAAGGTACCGGATGAGCTGGCAGTTAATAATGGATTCCATTATTTTGGAGAACAAGGAGGTGATCGCGATAGGCCTATAGTTGGATGGGTCTGAGCGGTCGCCTTTTTTAGGGATCGGGTGGACAAAAGCTGTCTTCCATGAATTCGGGACTACGCCTTGGGAGTAGGAGTACCGGAAAAGACGCGTTAGGACCGGTGCCAACTCCGGAGCACACGTCCTCAGCACAATTGGGGGGATTCCGTCAGGCCCACTCGACTTCTGGATGTCCAGGGAGAGCAGTGCTTTGCGAACCGAGCGCTGTGAGAACAGCACATCCGGCATGGAGCACTCACACCGCGGGATGGTCGGCGGTGTTTTCCCCCCGTCATCAAGAGTCGAGTTGGACGCAAAAAGGGAGCCTAAAAGGTCGGCTTTGTCTTTTGCGTCATGGGCCAGTGAGTCATCCTCCCTGTGCAGAGATGGTAGTGAAGGCTTACAGAAATTCCCTTGGACAGCCTTGGCGAGAGACCAGAATGCACGGGTTCCCGAAGGAAGGCGAACTAGTTTCTCGCCAATTCTGCCTATGTGCTCTGACTTTGCCTTGGCAATAACTCTTTTGAAGGAATACTTCTTTTGAAGCATGCTGGTGTTTACATCCTGAGCCACCGAAGCCTCAGTTCAGGCCTGATAACACTCCTGCTTACTGCGTAATGCAGTCTTACAGGAACGTTCCCGTTCCCGTTCTTACAGGAACGGGAACGGGTACGGAAACAGGATGAAAGGTCAGCAGAAGGTCCAACAGGGAAGGTGTATGATCCTCCACATCTGGAATCCGCGTAGGCGAAGTAACCAGTTGTGTCAGACCATATGCCAAGGCAAAGTCATAAACAGATCTCCCCGCATGATCGGTTAGACGTGAACCGAGCCATTCGGTATGGTGGGCGTTAAAATCGCCAAGGATCACGATCTCTGCGGATGGGACCTGTTGTAGCAAGAAATCTGTAGCCATTTGGACGTGGTCGATGAGTCGGTCTGTTTCGGCATTACCGCTATGGGACCTATAGAGGCACCCGTAGACGCGCGGATGGTCGTCGCTGTCTACGCGTACCCAAAGGATGGACAGGTCCGAACCTTCAAGACTGCCGAGGCGTCGAGAACAGATGTCCTCTCTGACATACACGCAAACTCCAGCCCGAGGCACAAAGGAATGCTCCAATTTGTACCCCGGGTAGGAGAGATACGAAATATCAGCCGGAGAGGAAACCTGCGTCTCGGTCAGAAAGAGCAAGGCCGGCTTCGCCGTCTCGACATGGTAGTGGACGGCGTTTAGGTTAGAGTGAAGTCCCCTGATGTTGCAGTAATTCACGGATAGCGTGGCAGGGGTCGCCTTGGTGTTCTTGCTCAGTTTGCCCCTAGCAGTAATGCTTTTGAGCGGAATTTTGCCCCCCCCCCCCCCAGAATACGCGGGGCAGCCTGAGCACCCACGCTCAGGATCGGAATAACATGGTCGTGGATGCTCAGCGAGGGATTCTCCAGAGGTGCTGGTACCCTCCTGGGGTAGTTCTTCGTGTAATTTATACAACGTGTCCCAAAATTCAACGATAAGCCAACACCGGAGGATAGACCTGCCCCGGACTAATCGGGTAAAAAAAGAAAAAAAAATATATCCCAATTATATTTTAAGTTATATAAAAAAAATGAAATTCTTCAGAAATTGAGACCGTTTATGATATTTTTCACTACCATGACCACAATTTTTTAAATATTTTTTTCTTTTTTTTTTATAGGCAACCTGAATAGTACTGCTATCTACCACAATTCTTAAAAACTCCAGAATAACTCTTGTTTTATCACGAAAATTAATGAAACTTATTTTATTCCCTAAATTTTTTGAAGACTTTTACTTTTAACCAAATTTAACTTATCGTGGTGTAAAAAAAAAGTATGAACACTAGTATGGCAAGTTTTTTTAAAAATTGACGCAACTAACCAATATTCCAAAATGGTATAATACTCTAGGAAAACAAGTTATAAAAAAATATGGGCCTATTATTTCTTAACAGGGGCCAAATTCCTTAAATTGTAATTGTCAGTAATCACTTTTACTACATGCCCAAAATGGGTTCCTGTTACAATTTCTAGGAATTCGAATGGGGCATTAATACCTTAGATGTTAGAGAGAGATAGATAGATAGAGATATTTACGTTAAAAAGAGACAACAACAGGGCAGGTAGAGAAGCTGTTATTATTCTCAGCAAGTCGGTTCAGTACGCTCTGCTCCTTTGTTTACTGCGCACCGTACCCAATTCAACTTACGTGGCCCTCGTACATACTATCGACTTTTGGCTTGGCTTTTTGGACTGGAATCGACCTGCAAACTTAACTGACCTGGCATTATTTGGACTGGAAGTGATCTGCAAACTGAACTGACCTGGCATTATCTTGGACTACGATTGTGTGTTTTGTGATTTAGAGTTCTGGCGCATTTTGGACTGTTTGGCGTTAACATGCCGCAACCGTACACACCACAGGAATACGCTAATATGCATTTAATCTATGGAGAATGCCGATGTAATGCTAACGCTGCTAGCAGACTGTATCCAGAAAGATACCCAAATGCTCAAAGATATCCTGATTATCGAGTGTTTATTAATGTGCATCAAGCGTTTTCGGAGGGTCGTATGCCATCCAATAGGAGCAGCGCTGGAAGACCTAGATTGGATCGTGATGAAGAAGTTCTCAAGGAGATAGAAAATGACTCGACTACTTCGGTACGTGCCATAGAAGAAGCTACAGGAATCCCGAAAAGTTCTGCACATCGAATATTAAAACGTCACAAGCTTCACCCATATCACTACAGGCGTGTGCAGACGTTATTACCGCGGGACTATCCGCTACGGGTCACATTTTGCCGTGTAATGCTGCAAAGGCACAGTGAAGATCCCCACTTCCTAGACAAAATTCTATGGTCGGATGAAACAACGTGCAAGAAAGATGGGTATTTAAATCTTCACAATCTACATAGTTGGAGTAATGAAAATCCACACTTGATGAGACAAGACAAATCCCAATATCAATTCAAGGTTAACCTATGGACCGGCATATTAAATGGAAAAGTAATTGGGCCCTTTGAGTTACAAGGAAACTTAGATGGCAATAGTTATTTAAACTTTTTACAAAATGACTTGCAAGAATTGTTAAACGACGTGCCCTTAAGTGATCTTCAAAACATGTGGTTCCAAAATGATGGTTGCCCAGCACATTATGCCCGTCCTGTGCGAGAATATTTAAATCAAGAGTATCCAGGGCGTTGGATCGGGCGACTTGGTCCTATCTTATGGCCACCCCGTTCACCCGATTTGAACCCCCTGGACTTCTTCTATTGGGGTTGTCTTAAAAAC